CACAAAAATCCTCAAGTAGAGTACTCCATCTAGGAACCTTGAAGAATACATTTGTTGATTTCCTATGTGTCTTTCAAACATCTACGAAAACCCCATCAATTTATCCGCGCAAAATTTTCCTAAAGCTGGTCACAGCAAGTAATGTTCAAAATTCTAACCTTTTCACTTGAAGCTTTAACCTATGACTAATTGGAACAAAGTCCATTGATTCTTGAAGGGGCATAATAATGGAAGTTAAAAGTAATACAGATCAGCCTTTTAACTAGTTTCCAAAAACGTATAGTGATTGAAATGATCTGATCATCAGCGCAACTTTTTCAGTCAATGCACTAGGAGAAAGGTTGTGGAGTGTGGGTAGGTATCTCTTGTTAGGGACGCACCGTTGGTCCATTTTTAATCTAGAATAGTTATAGGCATGAAGCTAAGTCTTATAGTGCCTCTCTTCGTTCTGTTCTTACATCAGCAACAACAGTAGTTCCCCCTCCTATTGATGTTTCATTGCTTTGCTCTATTGCTTCACTTTTATTTGATTCTGTGCACACCCGTCGTGTTTAATTGCAGATGCCTTCAGAACCATTTTGAGGGAGGAAGGTTTTGCTGCTCTTTATAAAGGGATTGTTCCTGGCCTCATGCTGGTAAGCAATTAGGTTTTAGCTTAATTTTCACAGTTTAATTTTTTTGCTTCTGCACAATCTGAATCGTATATATCAGTTAGTTTTTGCAACCCATTGGTATTGTGGGGATATCTCATCTACCCTTTTTTGTAATTTGGCTCAGTTGATAACATTTTCTATAAAATGTTTGTTGAGGATTCATTATTGAGTGGGAGAGAGCTTTTTACGTTTGACATTAAAAGACATTCTGTTTACATAATTTCATGGAATGAATTCATAGATGTGTTTGGTTGCTACAGCAGGTTTCTCATGGTGCCATTCAATTTACAGTTTACGAAGAACTCCGTAAAGTTATTGCCAACTCGAGGTATAAAGGGACCAGAGTGGATGCTCAAAGTTCTGGGGAATTACTGGTACAAGTTTTTGGCTTAAGTTTACTTGACATCATTATAGCGTGTTCTGGGAGAAGAAGAAATATTTATTTGATCTAGTGTATAGTGCATAACATTTTCGGACGTTTATTCGAGATATATTTTAACCGAGACTATTCACCTTTGCATAGGGATATTTTGTGAAGTGATTATAAATTATTAGCAACATTCACATGACAATATAAAACCGTTACTCCATTATGTCCTCACCACATGAAATGGAAACTCTTACACTGTGCATTGTTTCTCTCACGCAGAATTCGGTTGATTATGCTGTCCTTGGAGGATCTTCTAAAATTGCTGCCATGCTTCTGACATATCCATTTCAAGTAAATATAAATTTGTCTTGATGGTGTGAACTATGGCTTGGTTTTTAATTTCATAGTCATTTATCTTAGCTTATTCTTGAGTGACTTGGTTTTCAGGTTATTCGAGCTCGATTGCAGGTATGCCAATAGATATAATCTTTCTAGTTCCATTTTCTAATTTTTTAATTTTTTAGAATTACATGGATTTTCTGTTTGCTTGCAGCAAAGACCAGGCAATGATGGTACACCTAGATACATGGATAGTTTCCACGTTCTTAAGGAAACTGCACGGTAACAATTAACCTGTCCCCGATAACGTTACACCACCAGAAGAATAATTGTGCTCCTATTCTTTGAATTTTTCTAATGGAACCACTGTGAAGTGAAGTTGGAGTTTCGTTCAGTTCTAACTCCATAAACTACAGCATAGTGATAAAACTTTTCTCTTTGACATGTGTTATATACCTTGCAGGTTTGAGGGGATTCGTGGATTTTACAGGGGAATTACACCAAACCTTCTAAAGAATGTCCCTGCGGCTTCAATCACATTTGTTGTGTATGAAAACGTCTTAAAACTGCTCAAACTGATGACACAAAAGGAATGAAACTCGCGGATATATTGCTGTTTCTTCATTGCAAAAAGGTGGATTTTTACTTCAAAAACTTCCCTTTTCTTTTGCCGTTTTTTCTATTTACCAACGGTTCATTATTCAACCAATCACTTTCCTCTTTGTTTGTGGTAATGAAAATCTCTCTGCTTTTGAAATTACAGCAGGTAAAACACACAGCATTTCTCAACTAAATCATTATCGAGGAGACGGTTTAAGGATGAAAGAATTTCCTTCAAGACTTGCTGAGCTCTCTTCTGTCGGGAGAAATGATCGCCGTCCAATAGAACAACTTCAAGGTCAGATATGAGGCTCTTGAATACATCTCATTGCACATATTTTTCCCTTCCTGCTGATTCTTATCCGATATCTTTATCACCTATTGAAAATTTTGTTGGGAACTCTAGTTTTCTTCTTCTTATTATTTTTTTAATTCCTGCCCTGGTGCCAAAAGATCCCAATTCATATTCTCCGAATGAAATGAACAAGCTTCATTTTTAAGCAATTTTAGACACATTGAGTTCATATTGTGACACCCTTTGTACTTTGTTGGAAAATGAATAATTTCAGAACACTTCAGCATTAGCTGCTCCTTACTTTCCTCTCCAACTCGTGAAAAAAATGGTGTAGGAATTGGTGCTTGATGGAGATTCAGAACCACCCCCAAAGAAAGAACATCGTTAGTATTAGCTCAAATCTTTCCCATTTCCTCTTTCTTTATATTGGCCCCCGTTCTCAATCACTTGATCGAAAGATTAAAGTTCTTTCCATAAAAAGGAATCCAATAAATGTCTATTACACAAAAAGGATTGGTCCTTGGAGTTTCAAATGCATGTGAACATTGGATTCTACATTGATATGTTAATGATAGAGTCACTTTGCTAACTAAAAAGTGAGACGAAAAGGACTGGGTGGTCCAATGTCTTTTTTGGGTGAGATTTAGAAATTCTTACAGCATCAGTTGTCCATGTTAGTACTATAATTATGTTAATTTTATTATAAAACCGACGTTTGTGTGACGGGAAGAGGCGGGGGGCTGACATTTCCGGCGCCCCCTGATCAGCCCAGTGGGCTCGGTTCACGTGCCATTTCCAAGGTGGGTCAGCATTCAATCTACAAATGGTAAACTGCAGACCCATTGTGGCCCGACCCATGTGCCTCTGGTCCATCATTCCACTTACCCTCTTCTTCTTCTTCAGCAGTCCCCTCCCCACTAACTTCATCTATTCAAACAGTTCCATTTTTTTCTCATAACTCACAACACCAAACTCTTCCTCTTCTCGACCTCTGTCCTTGTCTCTTCTCCTCGTTTTGTTCCATTCATTTCACGCTTTACTTTCAAAACCTAAAGTTTCCCAACACTCGAACCGTAATCAATGGCTGCGCTGAAGAATTTCCAAGAACTCCACTTCCATTTTCTTTGCAAGTTCGGATTTTTATGTTCCGATGATTCATACCAATCACATTTATTCTTACATACTCGTTGCTTCTCTTTCAGATTTATTCTTACATAAGCTTTCAAGATACATATATGAAAAAAAATAGCAATTATTTGAAGAGTGCAGTCCATTAAAGTGAAGAAAAAAAATGAGAGACAGTAGCATGAGATTGGTTGTATTTATTTATGTGTAAGCAAATGTTGTCCATTCACATGTAAATGCTACATTATGGTGTCTCTGATCCAAACTACATTGTTATATCTGATTACTATATAAAATAATTAACCACTGAATTAGATAAAGCACTCTCCATCTTTGTCCCTAAATCAAAATCTCATTCACTTTCAAGTTCAATTGATTAGCACTGCATGATAATTGGATTGCCTGTTAGGCAGATCTTTTGAGCGGTTAACGAATCCTTAAAATATGTTTCTTTTGCAATTTTAAAAATTTAATAATCCAAGAGGGAATATTATAATGAACAATAATTCCAGCCCAGCCCGAACAGAAAAAGGAAGTGAAGGGGATCCAATTAGGTGGACTGGGCGACGCGGCAAAGGAGAACGCGCGCCATGGGCAAGGCCGAGGGCAAGGAGAGCGCGCGCCAAGGGCAAGGCCATGGCAACACTCGAAATCAACAGCACCGCGCGGCGCGCCTCTTAAAAAAGGTGCATATTGGATTGGATTCGATTCAGAACTCAGAACCCTTTTCTTTTCTTTTTTAATTTCATTGATTTGCTATCATGATGTGCTTCTTAATCATTCTTTTAAGATATGGTATTCTTATTTCTTTAATAATATGGTCTGAGCTTAGGCTTAGAGTAATTAATACAATAATAATCTCCAATTATATCTCAGATTGCACTCCAGCATCCCATGAGTGCTTGCCAATTAGTGCCAAACCATTACTTACAACTGTTTCTCTACATTTTTCTTATTTCTTTATAGGTCATTCATACATTAAAGCCAAGCTCGAATCTCGAGAACTGTGAAGCTAGGCTAAGGTTAAACCGATAACTCAAACCTTGAACTGACCTACAGATCATAAAGAATAATTCAAGATCTCTCCCGTTAACACCACAACCTTTCAGGCTAACATGCCAAAAAGAATACCTCGAAATATTTCAATTCTACGTCAATTTATTTGTGACTTTTTAAATGAAAAAAAAAAATGAAAGATCTTATATTAAACACGAATTTAAAATGTTTGTAATTTAAGAGGTTTGTAAATTTATTTGGTAGACTTTATAAATTAAATAATTTCTTTATGATTTCTTTTTTTTTTTTTTTTTTTTAATTCTAGTCGTAAATAGCAAAGGAACAATATACCTTTTAAAAAATGGCCGATATCTGCGGGGACAAGTGGCGGACCATTGCCCTCCAATTAGGCGGCGTGGGACCATAAAGCGGCGGTGTATTACGGTTCCCATCTCCTTATTCCGCCATTGAAGGACAGTTAAAAGAAACACACACAACAAAAATAAAATTAATGAACAAACTTAAAGGAAATTGAATAACGCTGCCTCCTAGTTCTTTTTGCCAACTCCTCCACCGCCGCGACACATGGGTCACTTAGATCCGTCAGGACCCATCATAATTTAATCCCAAATTAAGCTCCCATCAAGAACAACTTCGCCCCATCTTGTTAATTCTTAATGGGTCCAAGACAGTTCAGTACCAGACAGAAAGATTCGAGAATGGAAGGCATGGGGGACTGGACAAGCAGCAAGATCGCTTAACATTGGAGAAAAACTCCATTGGAGAAATAATTGAAGTTCATGAAAGATCAAAAATTGAAACAATTTTGATTCATAAAACTGGGGAGGAACCAAAGAGGATGTTGGTTTTCCTTTGGATTTCACATGAGCCATTAAAACCCAGGAAAAGCTTGGGGGTCACATGGTGTTTGGTAGAGGTGGGACATGCTCTACACAGATACCCAGACAACAGTGGCATATGGAGACATCACGGCATGTCGTTTATCTTTCCGTTTCCTTACGAAAATGGGCCACAAACAATGCTCTTCATATCATTCTTCGGTCAAAATCCCTGCTCTGTTCTACTTCTAATGAACTTAAATGTAAGAACTTTAATAAAATATTAAGATATTTGTTCATCACAGAAATTCTGTTAAAAAAACATTCCTAAGGACATATTAACTTAATGACGTAATGAAAGACGTTCATTTATTGCTGTTTATTTTCATACTCCCAGTTTTGGGAGGTCATTATAGTTACGGCATCTTTCACTAATTCACTTTTTGTGTAGTGTAGTTCCCATCTACGGTGGTTAGTGAACTGTGGTGGCTTTCGACACTTGTGACTGTCGGTGGGTGGAGGCTGTATATAAAGCCACGCATATGGGTTCCATTAATTCGCAGTCATCGGAGGCTCGGATCTGAATGCCGTGTTCTAACTGGGAATGAGCTATGTGGTAGCTAATGCTTGGAACAGACAAGAAATAAAAGCCTCTCTTGTTCTTGGTGGGTTTTAGATCTCTCTGCATTTCAACTTTCCCTTCATCCCCAAGAAAGTTTTGGGTCTTTTTTTTTGCTCAGAATGGCAACCAACTCGGTTTCCAAGCTCTCAATGTTGGTTTTGGGGCTGTTTTGGCTTCTGGGTGTTCAGCTTGTTCAATGTAGTGTGACATATGATAGAAAGGCCATCTTGATTAATGGGCAGAGGAGAGTCCTCTTCTCTGGCTCCATACATTACCCAAGAAGCACTCCTGAGGTACCCATTTCTCTTCCCTTTTTGCTTTATGGTGGGAATGTTTCTGATTTTTGGAGAACTGAAATGTTTGTAGATGTGGGAAGGTCTGATTCAGAAAGCCAAAGAAGGTGGTCTTGATGTTGTTGAAACCTATGTGTTCTGGAATGTCCATGAGCCTTCCCCTGGCAATGTACTGTTAACTTCTCCATCTAAACTTCATATTTTAGTTTCATTTTGAACTTCTCTTCAAGAATTTTTTGTTTTTCCTTCTCATTTTGCTCGTCCTCTATGCTTTCAGTACAATTTTGAAGGGAGATATGATCTGGTGAGGTTCATAAAAACCATTCAGAAAGCTGGACTCTACGCAAACCTACGCATTGGACCTTATGTCTGTGCAGAGTGGAACTTCGGGTACCTCCTCCTTATCATCTCCATATCTCTTTTTCTCTCTCCACAGTTAAAACTAATGGTTTCTTTGCTTCTCATCTTCCTTCTTTTTAACTTCAAACGTTCCCTTCAGAGGCTTTCCTGTTTGGCTGAAGTATGTCCCAGGCATTAGCTTCAGAACAGATAATGAACCTTTCAAGGTATGTTCATGCATGCCTTTCTAATCTCTCTATGCTTTAGCTAAAGTAGTTTTGATATCCATGGGGCTGTTTTGTTTGGTTTTCTCTTGCTATTTCAGAGAGCAATGCAGGGATTTACAGAAAAAATTGTGGGGATGATGAAAAGTGAAAACTTGTTTGAGTCCCAAGGTGGCCCCATCATTCTCTCTCAGGTACTAATGTCTAAGATTATCATTAGGACACAAAACGTTGTAGAAATGCAGCTCTAATTCGAGAGAATAATTGATCTTGTAGATTGAGAATGAATATGGAGTACAGAGCAAGCTATTTGGGGCTTCTGGGAAAAATTATATGACATGGGCGGCAAAGATGGCTGTAGGACTGGGAACTGGAGTCCCATGGTTGATGTGCAAGGAAGAGGATGCCCCAGATCCAGTGGTTAGCCCTTCTCTTATCTATTGTGGAGTGGTTAGCCCTTCTCTTAACAAAAGCTTATCTGAGAAACCCTGGTTTTGTCTGTCACAGATTAATACATGCAATGGCTTTTACTGCGATGCATTCTCTCCTAATAGACCCTACAAGCCTTCAATGTGGACCGAGGCTTGGAGTGGCTGGTGTGTAACAGCCCTCCTCTCATCTCATTTTAGTCATCCACCTTTTGATCGTCTGAAAGCTTCTCATTTCTCTGATTTGCCTTGACAATCCTGTAGGTTTAATGAGTTTGGGGGTCCAATTCACCATCGACCGGTTCAGGATTTGGCGTTCGCTGTTGCTCGGTTCGTTCAGAAAGGAGGGTCGTTTATTAACTATTACATGGTTGGTTTTCTGTGACACAAGCAGTACTTTGTTCTGAACTGTTATCTTATAAGATTCTCATCCCTTCCTGTGACAGTACCATGGTGGGACGAACTTTGGACGTACAGCCGGAGGACCTTTCATCACTACCAGCTATGACTACGATGCTCCGATAGATGAATATGGTGAGAATTGAGAAACTATAAGGAACAAGCTCATGACTGAAGAAAGCCAATGTGTTTTTTTCACATGTTAGACCCTGTGGATTAACATAGCTGTTTAAAGAAAGTTAGGAAATATACAAAAAACGCTACGATTAAGTTCCAATGTCGTTGATGGCTGAAAATATTTACATTGATTTCTTGGTTATAAAACTATGATAGGCTTGATCAGGCAACCAAAGTATGGTCATTTGAAGGAGCTTCATAGGGCGGTGAAGATGTGCGAGAAAGCTTTAGTTTCAGCAGATCCAATTGTGACTTCATTAGGGAGCTCTCAACAGGTACTTTTACTCAACAGTCCATAATTCTGATCTCTCACCATTTAAGCTTAACCAAAGTTACTGAGGCTCGACCTTCAATATCTCCAGGCTTATGTCTACACATCAGAATCACGAGGCTGTGCAGCCTTTCTTTCAAATTACGACACAAATTCAGCTGCAAGAGTGATGTTCAATAACATGCACTATAATTTACCTCCATGGTCCATCAGTGTTCTTCCTGATTGCAGAAATGTAGTTTTCAATACGGCCAAGGTTTGGAAACATTTCCTTGCATTTTAGTTTAGACTTCAGTAGGCTCTGGTTTCGCGGCTCACCTTGATTTTGTTTTTGACCTGTTTTCCAGGTCGGAGTTCAAACATCACAACTGGAAATGCTACCAACAAGTTCTCCAATGCTCTTATGGGAAAGCTACAACGAAGACGTTTCTTCCGAGGATGATAGCATGACAATGACTGCTTCTGGTTTACTGGAGCAGCTAAATGTTACCAAAGACACTAGTGACTACCTATGGTATATTACTAGGTGAGACCACTTCTTCCTTCAGCTCTTGCTTGCTTACAACTGAATTCTTTAGATGAAAGTCATTACATGTTTAAAACAGGAATTGCATATTGAACAGGCCATAATATTCTCTTTTTGTCCCTTCAGTGTAGATATTGGCTCAACAGAATCCTGCCTGCACGGTGGAGAACTCCCCACACTGATTGTGCAGTCAAGTGGGCATGCCGTGCATGTCTTTATCAATGGGAGGCTTTCAGGTACAGTACTATCTCATTCTTCTTGGATGCCTCTTACCATCATGAAAGCAAGACGTTTTAATAAATATGGGTTGGTTATCAGGTTCTGCCTTCGGGTCTAGAGAAAATCGAAGATTCACTTACACTGGAAAAGTCAATTTTTGGGCTGGACGAAACACGATTGCACTCCTGAGTGTCACTGTGGGACTGCCAGTGAGTTTATTCCTTTGTTTTTCTCATAGTTGTCCATTTCAATAAAGGGGTCTCACCTTTTGCTTGTTTTACTAAACCATAAAAGCATGATGCTCTTCATCACTCCCCCAAGATGAAGCTTGAACAACTTATACAACTCGATAAATTTTTAAAAGTCAATCACAAATTCGAAAAGCAGTTTTGAAAACATAATTGAAAACTGCTTTCTAGTATGTTTTTTGGGTTTTCCCCTATTTGTTGGTAATGATACATTTTGAATTGTTGTTGTTGAAGAATGTTGGGGGACACTTTGAGAAGTGGAACACGGGAATCTTAGGTCCAGTTGCTCTTCATGGACTTGATCAAGGAAAATGGGACTTGTCCTGGTCGAAATGGACTTACAAGGTTTGATCACTTAACTCCCAGCTTCTCGAGTGTTATGATTTCATCTCCGAAAAACTTTTCCCTCACTCTTAACTCCAAAATAGGTCGGGCTGAAAGGAGAAGCCTTGAATCTCGTATCTCCAAATGGTATATCTTCAGTCGAATGGATTGAAGGATCATTGGCTGCACAAGCACCGCAACCACTGACTTGGCACAAGGTACCTGTTGACCCCAAATTCATCTCGATTTTACTATCAAAGATGAGATGACCCATAAAAGTATGAACCTTACCTTTCACTTGCAGAGTAACTTCGATGCACCTGAAGGAGCTGAGCCATTGGCTTTAGACATGCGGGGAATGGGAAAGGGTCAGATATGGATTAATGGACTGAGTATTGGAAGATACTGGACTGCATACGCTGCTGGCAACTGTGATAAATGCAATTATGCTGGAACATTTAGACCTCCAAAGTGTCAGCAAGGCTGTGGCCAGCCGACACAAAGATGGTAACTTCTTCACATTAGGGAAACTCATCAATACTGAAGAATGAGTTTCTCTTACATAGTCCAACTATATTTCATTTTCAGGTACCATGTGCCTCGTGCTTGGTTGAAGCCCAAAGACAATCTGTTAGTAGTCTTTGAGGAACTCGGAGGGAATCCCACAGGCATAAGCTTGGTGAAGAGATCAGTGACTAGTGTCTGTGCCGACGTCTCTGAATTCCATCCAACTCTTAAGAACTGGCACATCGAAACCTACGGAAAGTCAGAGGATTTACATAAACCCAAAGTTCATCTTAGGTGTTCTACAGGTTATTCCATAACTTCCATCAAATTTGCAAGCTTTGGAACTCCATTAGGAACCTGCGGGAGCTACCAGCAAGGAACTTGCCACGCTCCTATGTCATATGATATTCTAGAGAAGGTACCAAAAAACAAAGATCCATTTTTGTTTTTCTTCTTCTTCTTTCACTGTATTTACTTATCCCCACTCATATTGTCATCCCTTTTCTACAGAGGTGTGTAGGGAAGCAAAGATGTGCTGTTACCATATCCAATACTAACTTTGGGCAAGATCCATGTCCAAATGTTTTGAAGCGATTATCGGTGGAAGTTGTGTGTGCTCCAATGACTACAGCAGCAGAACCCAACTGGAAGGGTTGATCGGATCGGTTGAAAAGGGGAGATTTAGCTTATCATGAAGGGTGGCATGGTTCAATTACCAGTAAAAAGACTGAGCAAAAGGATGATAGGGTTACAGCAGCAGTACTTTTCCAATTTGTATCTGATGATTTGGTTTTCATATTGAGTGAGTTTTTCGTTAAGGGTGTGTGTGGTGCCAAAGGCAGTAGGGGTTCTTAGAGGTATAGGTCGTAGAGTATGTAAATCCCAGGGTTCTGCAATCTAGGCCCTGAGGTGAATCTCAATTCCTATTCCTGGCATTTTAACTGGAAATGGGTTCTGGGAAAGATACGTAATTTATTTCAGTTTGTTATATTGGGGAAAAATGAAACCCCATTCAGGATATTGTAATGACCTGGTGTGACAAGTGCCTCCTGTAATACAAGGCCAGTTTGAAGGAAAAAGAAAAATCTTGACATTCTGCTTTCTAAATGCCCCTTTTTTTCTACATCTCTATTTCATGTATAGAATATGAAATTCCTTTCTTGGGGTAAAGTACTGGAAGATAAAGATCCTAACATCCAGATTCCTCCAGATATGGAGAAGGGTATAATTTCATTCCAAAATGCACGACTCTAATGTCAAATCGAATTTAACTAATCAGAATTACCCATAAAATACATTAAGCAAATCTTCCTCTTAAAGAATCGTATTCCTGTTCTTTCAATATCAGATTCCCACATCCCAATTATACTAATGCAACAATAACATTGTTTTTTCAACTTAAGAGAAAGAAAGAAAAGACAAACAATAAAAGCCACTTCGAAAGAGAGAATATACCGTGTTCTTCTGACAACAAAGCGAGCGGATAGGAGTTGGTAATCAAGTATAGAAAATTTAAGCGGTTTCATAGTATAATGAAGTTGTTCATATCTCTACTTCAGAGCCCAATTGTCGTTGGTGAATATCAGACTGAAGAAGTAGCAGCCATGTGCTTGAATACAGTCTGCTGCAGTTCTTCCTTCTTAGCTCCAACCACCTTGTCCACAATTCTTCCCTCTTTCAGGAACATAAAAGTAGGCATTGCCTCCACCCCCCAATCTTTAGCTACCGACTGCACCATTCAAAACATTTTAACAAAAGCTACACACACAGAGAGAAAATCCAGAGGAGGATTTATAATTTGTGATTTATAGTACCTCCAGATCATCCACATCAACCTTGAGAAATGTGACACTGGGAAATTTCTGAGCAAGCTCGTCTAGAAAAGGCGCAATGAACCGACACGGACCACACCATGATGCAGTGAAATCCACCACTATCTGCATCAATTCTAACACTCGTGAACAAAATCCTACTATATCTGATCTGTACAGTAAGTTAAAATGTCAAACTCAATAATAGGTAGTTCCAACTACATGAAGATTTCTTCTATTCTGGTGAGAAAATGATTGGTGGTGAAATCTAGAAAAGGACTGGATTGGAAATGGCTTCGTATAAGCATCATATGATCTCAATGTAGTAAATGTCTACCACAGATGTATCCAATTGGTTTGGTTTGGTTTGCTTTGGAAAGCAATAAGTGGGAGACAAAAATGGTATTGATTGTTCAATAAAGAAAAGGAAGCACGAAAGATTCGAAACATTTCACAATTTGATTACTACTTTTTCTACCATACCACAAAAAAGCAAAGTAAAAGAACGGAAAAGTTTTCTGGAGCATATCAAGATGAGTTTGAAATACGCAACGCAGAATGCAGTGAGCGGATCAAATCAAGTAACACCGATGCATTGAAATCAATGAACATACAGACGATTAAATCAAGGTAGTGCCAAGAACACAAAGTTGAAGGGGAATTGAAATGGTTGTACCAGTTCCTGAGAGGCATTGCCCTTCTGAATTTGGTGGTTCCATGAATCAATGGTGTTGCAGCGGATGACTCGTCCCTCTGCTACTGCCATATCTCCTTCGTTTCCTTCTCTACTTTTACGAATCTCTGATAAAACCGACACACCAAACAGATTTTGATCACTGCGAGAATTTCTCCTTTAAATAGGTAAAGAGAAATGCTTTTTTTACACAGAATTGGACCTTTCTTTGTGATTAATCACGATTTTGCCACCCCAATTTATGGACCGCTTTCAAATGAAATTCCATGCAACGTTTTCTCTTCCCGACGTAGATTTATTATTTATTATTTATTATTATTATTATTAATTTCTTTTTGGAGCGCGCGTGAAAAGTTTCATTTTCACGCTTACAATTCATAAACGCCGTCAAATTTCTGTGATTAAATCCAACTGTTTGTCGTCCTGAAAATAACGATGCCTACGCACATTTGAAACAAATATAAAATGAAAAATTGTCTAAATTAACAAATAAGCCACACTTTTTTTAAAAAATTAATTATATAATTTCTTATTATTCACCATATTCATATCTCATCAGACTTTTTTTATTATACTTCATCCCCACAAATAAAAATTTTAAAAATTAAATAAACAAAAAAAAATATTTACGAGTTCGAACAGAAAAATTCTTCTACGTTCATATGGTAGCTAATTACTATAATCAAAGCATTTATAATTGTATTTCTAAACTCTCCCAATACAAATCTCTCTTTAATTATCTCTAGGCAAATACAAAATAATAATGATATTAGACAAACATTTATATATGCATATAATACTAATTCTCGTACATGAATCAAATCAACACTATTGTTAATATGATTCATATACCAATACGAGAGAATGTACCCACATAAAAAATAAACAAAATGAATTCAATAGATTCATGAACTGAAATGTAAAATGTACCAAAAGTATTCACTAATCCAAGCGATTCATGATCTAAATCTTCAACCTCGGATGAAAGTTTTAGAAAAAAACAATTTGACTATAATTATTATTATTTTTATAAAATCATTTCATTATAAAGTAGATTTTGATTTGCATAAAAAGTACTTTTTATGATTGATGTTTATTTTCAAAAGTATTTTTACCATCATGAAAGTAATAAAAATAAATAAATAAATAAATAAAGTGTTAAACAACATATATGAGAGGAAACAAAAGATATGGCATGAGAAAAAAAAAAAAAAAAAAGGAGGGAAATTTTTTTTAAGAGAAAGCTAAAGAAAAGTTTCAAATAATAATAATAATAATTTGAGAGAAATAATTTAAAAAGTAAAAATAATTAAGGATGGAAAAAAGACAAATTTTTAGAATGAAAAAGTTGACTTTTAACATCATTTTTGGGTCAAATAAAATATTTCTTAAAAAATTATCAAATATGCCCTAACTTTAAATATAACTCAACAAAAAAATAGTTTAAAGTAATGTATTTCTTATATATATATATATTAAACTATATGGTAAATGAATTTCCCTTTTAATTATAGAGTCCACTTTGGATGGGTTGTGAAGAGCGAGAATTTTTTTTATTAGCCACACAAATGGTCTTTCCATGGACCAACCACTATGGGATCACACTTTTTCATTATTCATTTTGACCATTTTTTTAAAAAGCTACTTTAATTCAGACTATGAGTTTAATGGCATATATGCCTCTCACCAAACTCATCCAACCATTAAAAAAAAAAAAAAAAAACATTTTTCATACATTAGAAAAAAAAAAAAAAAAAAAATGTCGTGCGGTTCCTATGCTTAATTGAAAATGTCGGCAACATTTTGTATAAATGCCCCATTATAAACAACTACTTATTCACGTGTGATTACTATTAATAAATTGAATTTAGAATTTAAAATTCAACTTACTTCAAAATAAATGAAATTAATGAAATAGATGAATTCTAGGTAATAATGTTTAAATCTAATCTTTGTATTTACGAGTTTAATTTGGTGATTTAATATAATTAAAGTACCCGTCAGTCGATTTAATTAGCAACGATGGGTGAGTTTCAAGATATGTTTTCTTAGTTAATCAACCATGTAAAATAGAAAAATAATACCCAAAAAGGGCATAAAAAGATTGGAAGAAAATAGAAAAAATTAAAATAGATTGGAAGAAACGTAGAAGACATCCCGTTGTACCGTTCATACACGGGCTACAAACAATTTGCTTTATTTATTTATTTATTTATTTATTTATTTATTTATTTATTTTGGGAGCAGACCAACTTATCTCTTTACCTATAAAATTGGAAGTAATTTTACTCTGGTTTTACCCACGAAAGCCCTTCATTCTTCGGCTCCCCTCCTCCAATTGCCCTGCCATGGCTGCTGGTTCGGAGCTCGTTTCTCTGCTTCTATTGCTCTCTATTGCTAATCTCTGCAATGGAGGCATTACCAGTAGATACACGAGAAAACTTGAAGCTTCTGTCGATATGCCTGCAGAAGCTTTCCCCCCGCCCGGCGGTTACAACGCACCAGAACAGGTCTCGCCCAATCGAATCTCGATCTCGAAGGATTTCAGTTGCTATCTTTTTTTTTTTTTTTTTTTTTTTAATATTGCTTCGGTGAATTTGCAGGTCCATATAACACAGGGAGATCGTGATGGCAGAGGCGTTATAATTTCTTGGGTGACGCCATTGTCGCCCAAACCTAATGTTGTTAGATATTGGGCAGCGGATTGCGACGAGAAACATGCCGACGAATCCCAAGCTAGAATCACTACTTACAAATATTACAATTACACTTCCGGATTCATCCACCACGCCACCATTAAGAATCTCAAGGTTCGTTCTCTTCTCGTTCTGGTCTTTGAATCTTATGCCTTTTCCTGATTTCCAGTTTGGTTTCGAAAATTGTATCGCAGTACGGTACCAAATACTTCTATGAGCTTGGGAGTGACAATGTGACGCGTCGGTTTTTCTTCACAACGCCTCCCATGGTTGGTCCTGATGTCCCGTACACATTCGGCATCATTGGTAACATTTTGTCGCTTTCTTCTTCGAACATGATTCGATCGCATCTTCCTGTTTTGGTTAATCGGCATCAGTAATTGCATTATCTCCGCAGGCGATCTTGGACAGACTTATGATTCAAATCAAACGTTTGAGCATTATTATTCAAACCTTAAGGGACAAACTGTGCTGTTCGTCGGAGATCTTTCTTATGCCGACAATCATCCGTTTCACGACAATAGGAAGTGGGATACATGGGGTCGATTTGTCGAGAAGAGCACTGCATATCAACCGTGGATTTGGACCGCCGGTAACCACGAAATGGATTTTGCTCCAGAAATTGTAAGAACATAACATAACAGAACAAGAACGTTTATATCTTCTATTTCTACTTGAATTTTGAAGCTAATTTGACCTTGTTGTTTTAGGGAGAAAAAACCCCTTTTAAACCTTTTACGCGTCGGTATCACGTCCCTTACAGATCAGCACAAAGCACATGCCCTCTCTGGTATTCCATCAAGCGTGCATCTGCCTACATTATAGTCCTTTCTTCTTACTCTGCTTACGGTATGTGTTGATTGATTGATTTGTGATTTGGGTGTTCAATTACTGTAAAAAAAAAAA